AGTTCTAAATAGCCCGTCGCTTAAATAGTTGGAATCAACGTTCACCCGGCTAAAAAATTCGATTTTGGCAAAAATCCACTTGCCCCGGAAAACCGGAAAATCTGACCCTTTGGGGGCCAAAAAAAAACGGTTTCTCAGTTTTCACTTTTTCCACACACTTTTGACAGTTCTGGCTATCCCGGCGCTTAAGNATCCAAGATCCGACACTTTAGCCTCCGGTGAAAATTTTTTATTTTTATTTTTCACTTTTTCCATATACTTTTGATAGTTCTGAATAGCCCATCGCTTAAAATAGTTGGAATCAACGTTCACCCGGCTAAAAAATTCGATTTTGGCGAAAATCCACTTGCCCCGGAAAACCCGAAAATCTGACCCTTTGAAAATTAAAAAAAAAAAACTTTTTCAGTTTTCACTTTTTCCACATACTTTTGAGAGTTCTGAATAGCCCGTCGCTCAAATAGTTGGAATCAACGCTCACCCGGCTAAAAAATTCAATTTTGGCGAAAGTCGACTCTCCCCCTGCCAAAACCGAAAATCTAACCCTTTGGCTCCGGGTGAAAAACAATTTTTTTTAGTTTTCACTTTTCCCACATACTTTTGAGTTCTGAAAATAGCCCGTCGCTTAAATAGTTGGAATCAACACTCGCCCGACTAAAAAATGCGATTTTGGCAAAAGTCGACTTTCTCTCTGGAAAAACAGAAAATCTGACTCTTTGGCTCGGGGTGAAAAAAAAAAATTTATTTCGACTTTTGTCGCGTCTTCTGGGGTTTCATTGGCATCAGAATTGTCAGAATACAGAATCAATTTTCACTTGGCGAAAAAATTCAATTTTGGCGAAAATCGACTTTCACTTTTGACCCACGTGAAAAAGAAAAAAAAATTTTCCCCGTTTCTGTCACCCCCGAAGGTTTCATTGGCATCAGGGGGTCAATAAATACAGAATCAACGTTCACTATTTTTTATTTAAACACCGCCTGCAAACGGGGAGATGAGGGTGGCTAAAATATATTCTGCAACCCTGTCTCCTTGTTGGCTACAAATTTTAACCCTCCGCATACATGCCTTCCGCTTCACCCGCTCGTAAAATCACGCGTTCTCGGTAGCATCGAGGACTTCTCAGGACCGAAAAGAACTGAGGATTCGAAAGGTCTCTGGAAAAGTACGTCGCATAACTGATTAGGACTTACCAGGTCCATCTAGGTCTTCAGAGATCTTGAAAGACCTGTGTACGTCCAATCAGAACCAAATCCTCGACTCGGGGATCTTTCGTTTTGCATTTTCTCCGTGTACTCTGAAGGGTATTTTTTTTTACGTAGTTTTTCTTCAATTTTTTCCTACCCGCGATTCTTCTAACAAATGATTGTTATAATCCTGTGTACACTTAATTTATAATAATATAACCGACGGCAGTGACCGGCGGTTCTATTAGAAACCATGAAAACCCGAAAGGGTATACGAAAACAGAAAATTTCTAATAATATGCGAAGGCTTTACAACTTTTTGTTATTTCTTCTCGTAATGAGACAAATTATTCATTTTTGTCTCTGAATTTTCTTCCAATTGAAAACCACATTCGAATTCATTTGACACATAATTATTTGAGGATTCTAAGTGTAAACGTTGGCTACTTATTATCTTCCTGTGCAAAACACTTATTCAAAGTTTATTGGAAAATTAATTAGATGAAAAAATTACGATTCTCAATAGCAATTCGCATTCATTGAGTTTCATAATCTATTGAATGCTTCATATCATTGAAAGCACTGTTATGAAGATCATCATTTATTCGAAACCAACTAATAACATTAATTATCTTGAAAGAAATAGAGGAAATATCACAATCTTGCGTATGTGAATTATTCCTAAAGAAATACATCGGTGACTCCCAAAAAACGTCAATTCATTTTATATTAGACGTATTTGTTTGTACATCCTCGTTAAAAATTGATTATTAAATTGAATTACTTTACTCAACTCCTTCCCCACTCACCTTTTTGTGTAACAATTTTGGCTGTAATGTTTATAGTTTTCAAATGGAGCAGACATTCATTCATTTCTTCTCACTAAAATTTTTGCCGTTTTTCTTATTTTCATATTTTGAAACGACACAACGTGTGCTTGCACAGATTATAACAACACATGAATACGCGTGCATCGAGTGTCGTTATGTGAACCGGCCACGATTTGCATGTGTGGTTTCAACGATTCAAACGCTGTGTTCGGCATATCGAAACTCAACGATTTATTGATGTTTTCATCGACTCTCTGATTCCATGTCATGTCTTTTTCACAGGAGGAATAGGAGATTAATTCACTTTCAATTGAGGAACTTCCGCAGTAAGTATATTTGGTGAAAATTTCGAAATGATATAAAGACGCAATATTTGGATCATATGTTGTTGAGCACATTCAAAAACTATTCCCAAAATTTCAAGTACCTTGTCCTCCCCATTTTCGATATATACATCGTCAAAAATGGAAAAAACACAAAAATTGAATGTTTGGCGATGCATATCTCAAAAATGGGATGGACCAGGGACTTGAAATTTTGGGAATATCTTTTTAATGTGGTCAACAACATATGATCCAAATATTGCGTCTTTATACCATTTCGAAATTTTCACCAAGTATACTTACTGCGGAAGTACCTTAACCCTCGATCGGTCACGTCATGGCACGAGCGCCGTTCTGTCTCGATTTTTATTTTTTACGGTGAAACGGTGTTGAGAAAAAATCTGAAAAAATTGAAATTCCTACTTTCCACCATGTCAAACATTTAAACAATTTTTGTTCTGTGCATCTTTGCACCGATCAAAAATTAAAATTCCTTAAAAATTCGACTCAGTCGAAATCTCTGTGTTTAACCTCTAAATGTCAAATTTTCGCACCGAATGGAAATCAATTTTTCAATAATGTTTTCACTTTTCTCGTTTTATAGTGATATTAGTTGTTAGTTGAAAGTTCAAAGTTACTCGTTTAATCATAAATACATCATTTTTTTCAACTTTTTGTTTTCTCAAAATGGGAAAATACACGGAACGGCGCAGCGCTCATCACGCGACCAGATACGTTTGGTGGAGAGGTGCGACCACTCGAGGGTTAATCGATGTCAACGCGAATTCGAGAAATGTCATGTCTTTTTTATACAAGGATTCCTGATAAAATCAATGATTGCTTTTTTTCTTTTATAAAATGTTGTAAAAAAAAGATTTCAGTTTATCTATTTTTACAAAAAAGTTTTTTTTTGTAAAATTGAGAGCATCTAAAATTGCATACCATGCTCATTTAATTTGTTATTGATACATTTCTTCATTTTTCTCTGTAAGGACCATTATCCTAAGTACGAATCAGAAGAAGGAAGATTAGATTGACATTAGACAGTGATTTTAAAAACTGCTATTATTATGTTCCAGTATCCGAGTTTTTCCATGGATTCAAAAGAATGGTAGCCCTAGTCACCGTCTTCTTCATGCCAGAGTTGGTAGAAAAAATTGGTTCCAACATACTTTTCGATTCCAAGTTCGTCAGGAAAGTATTCTGGAATGCTGTCGATGAACGCGAGAAAAGTGGCTCGAAAAGAGGAGATTTCATTGACTCTCTCGTGCAACTCAAAAATGGAGAACAAAATCCCACTTACAGTTGAGTAGTTTTTGTAATCAGGAATTATACTTCATTGGGCTGTCCATAGAACAAATTGGACATTTTACTGAAACTTTATGTCAGTCAAATACCGTTTACAGACAGCGTGAAGAAAAATGAGCTTGGTCACTCAACCGAAAAAACTTTTCTCGATCGTGTGATTGCAATGTTCGGCTTCGCCTTGGGAGGCAACCTTCACAGTCGTCCGAAAAGTTTTTTTCATTCCTCGAATTTCTGTTCTTTTCGACGAACCTCGGAATAACAAAACCCACGTTCCTCCCTGCAATCACGAAGAAAAAACGAACTTTCCCGGGCAGTTATGACGGAAGAGTACATTATGTCATCAGGCGAGGGAGAGAAAATAAAGGAGTCGTGCCCACATGCAGAATTACCCCCGATCCGAAAGCGAGGGTGCTAAGCACGTGGGTAATCTTCCTTTATTTAACCTCCCGTGGTCAGAACATTATTTTCCGTCACAGCGCAGGCGCAAAGTCAGATTTCCCGCCCGCAAAACGGGAGGGAAATGTGCACTTTGCGCCCGCCGTGGCGGAAAAGTATTATCACAAAGTTACATTCGTCAGATATACCTTTAATAACTTTAATCGCGGTTAGAATCGCGGTTTATCGTCCTGATAACTTGAAATGTTGCATATCAAACGGCAATAAAAGTATTATTGAACTCATCTGATTATAATTCTCGCTTTCGACTCGGATTATAAAGTCATTCTCGTCAGATAATGCTTTTATCGCCTGATGACGTAATGTACTATTAAGATATAAGTGGAAAAATCGCCTTTTTCTCACCAGTATCATAAAATATTGTACGATACATATGAAAAAATGTACTTGCTGACGAGTGTGCGGATTACATCCGTAATCACAGTACACTGAGAAAAAAAATTCTAATATCTAAAACGTATTTTCTTGAGACAAGTAATTTTTCTTCAACTGTTTAATTCTCCCAGGCATCTCAACTCACGTGGCCCGAGAAAGGTCTCATGGTTTAACATATTCTTGTTCTCAAGTATGATTTTGTCGTAAATGAACTCACTCAAATATATAAGCGTATAAGCACCGTCAATCTTCAAGTATTTATTGTTTTCATGATTTTTTTTGCTATGCAGTTGCAATATTTCGATATGTAATACATTCATGATATAATACGCAACTACGAATCGCATAACCACAGTTTAATATGAGAATTCAGCGTTTGAACCTATCAAAAACCTTGATTAAAAGTCCGCAAATTTTGCACTGCAAAGACCTCAAAGCTTCGTTACGTGTTTTTTCATATTTAAAGTGGTAAATAAAGTGAAATTTTTCCGACAATCACATCCAATCATCAAACACTTCATGATCAGGAACAGAAAGAAATTTTCAAGTTGATGGTTGTGGAGGAAATCGGGTGAGCGGTATTACCCGCTGACCGGTACAGGCATACCCTCCCCTAATGTGAACCTTGCATGCGAGAAACATTTCTTTCCGCCCATGGTCCACTATATACTATTCTTCTTACTTCAGAAAATGTGCAATGATTATCTTATCGGTTTAGGGTTCGAAGGGGAAAATCTTCTGTACCAATCGGGAACATTTTTCTCGGGTTTCGAGTCCAGTTCAACAACCACATCATTCACACTTATGGAATTGGCAAAAAATGAGCAGTATCAGGAACGAGCGAGAAAAGATATCTTGAGGGCCATTGGTGAGCATGGTTGGGGCTATGAGGCCATAAATGATATGAAGTATTTGGATCAATGTATCGCGGAGGGTGTGAGACTGCACCCTCCGGTGTCCACTATTGATCGATTTACGAGAGATGAGTACAGGGTAAGAATTACGATCACAATCTTTTGACATTGCAAAATACATAATCTACGATTTGAATGGCATCAGAAAGTAAAAAAATGATGAGAAGCGAGTGGTTAGAGACTTGTGTCACTTTCTAGTAGATAAATTTTGAATGAATTGACATGAAAATAAAAAAAAGAAATTTCACGAGAAAATTCGATTTTTCTCCTGCAAATAAAATATGTAGATTAATATGTAGATGAATATGTAGATGTTTTTGGCCTTTGGCTACGCACTGTTGAAAATATTCCACTGAAATTTTTGGTAAGTCTTGGAAATTTTTAACAAGTTACGTTTCTACCGAAATTTCAAGGAATTTTGTCTTTGAATCTTTAAAAAATTCATGAGAACGGTGAATTTCAATTTAATTATTCGGAGAAAATGAATGAAAAATCGCAGATTCCTCTGAATATTCGGGGAATTCCTTCAAAAAAATTTGAAGTTTCTCAAATTTTTAAGGAATTCCCTGAAAATTGAAGGAAATTTGGTGGCAAATATTCATTTTCACTTGAAAATTCATGTAAATTGTACAATTTCCGTCTTCCTGCCGCTAAAAAATAGGAACTTTACTGAATGATGATGATAACAGTATCGTGCATTGATGTGCTAAATTGAAAGTCCATCTTGAAATGAATCAATTTTTTGCAGATACCCGGAACTGATGTTGTCCTAGAAAGCGAAACACCGATTTATATATCACTATATGGACTTCAGGAGGATCCCAAATTCTTTGAAGATCCGGGAGTGTTCAATCCTGAACGGTTTCGAGAGGGCCGTCAAGTTTCGGAAGCCTACATACCATTTGGTTTGGGTCCGAGGATGTGTGTCGGTAAGAAAATTTGAGCGAACTCGATTTACAGTACTTTTTCACCCTAAATTGGGGAAAAGTGCGAGACGAATAGTGAATTTTTTTCCGTTGGGCGGGCAAAATTTACTGAACGTGACGATAATTTGTGCCGAAACTGTAAAATTTACTCTGCTTTCCATAAAAAATTATCCCAGTAAACGTGAATGATTGCTCAATATTTCATGTAACTTTTCTGTAACGGAGAATGGTTTTTTTCCGAACACATTCGATGAAATTTCACTTCGATTCGTCCCCATGACCTTCAGATGAATGCAAGAAAAAAATACCCTACCGGTGGGGGAAAATTTACTGTACAGAAGGATAATTTTTGCATCCATACATGCTTTTTTGCTTCCGAATGGAAGCTTTGTAATCGCTCAAATTTAAGTTTCCAATTTTTTGTGTTAGGGTAACAAAAGTCTACAAAATCACAAAAATCTAAGACTCAAATTTGAACGACTCAGAATCAAAAATGCTAGCTCTCGTAAAGCCAAACGTGAGAAATGATACAACGTATTATTTTTAATTCTTTAAATGTGGAATCGACTGAATATGAATGAACCTCGAATCAATGGACTTAATTTTAGACAAAGTATTAATGGACAAAATTTTTAGGCATGAAAGTGGGACAATTACACGCAAAAGTGGTGCTATCAATGATCCTGAAGGAGTACGAGGTTTATCAGAGTCCAGAGGACAAAAGCTATTTGGATCCACGATCGACTTTCACAGCTGCTGCTAACGGAATTATCTTGCACTTCAGAAAACTCGAAACGTAATGCATTTGTAAATATACACCTCGCATTTTTGTATTTGAGCGATTCCACCAAATCCTGCGCGCAAATCTGGTCTCTCAAGTTTTTATTTCTAAGTGGAATAGGCAACATTCATTTTAAAAAACCATACGCATACATATGTAAAAAAATGTAAATACATATACATCACTGAAAGTTTGTTCACTTCATGATAAGTATTTTGAAAACAGACTTACATAAATAAATATGAAATAAATATTTTAATTCAGAGGCACCGATGTCGGTGGCCGAGTAGGCTAGACGCAATAGTATATTTCGTCACTAGGCCGAAAAAAACTTTTCTGGCGAATATGAGTTTGCAGCCCGAGCCGAAGGCGAGGGCTGCAATCATATGAGCTAGAAAAGTTTTTTTTGGCCGTATGACGAACAGTATTTTTTGTCATGAGGGCCGTAGGCAGAGATTCACGGACGCGAAGTGGAGCGGAGCGTCCGTGAAGCGCTGCCTCACGGCCGGAATGACAAAAAGTCTATTGTGCAAAAGGGGGAGATACATCCGCCGAGTCAGAACTGTACACGACACCGATCTGTACACGGAGCGCTACTGTGCACAGCAGAACTGTCCACAAATGAAATAGTGCACGGGCGAAACTGTCCACGAGGACGAAGTGTCCACAACGCGCCAAGCCGATAAACCAGCATCGGTATTGTAGGAATCGAATACATTTATTACCTATAGAATAAAATTGTCAGCAACAATTTCCGTTACCTGATGGCGCTATAAGACTGAAAAGATTATTTTCGTGAAATATCCAGGGCTGTACTACCTGAACTCTTAGGTAAAAACTGAGTCGTGGACCCTAATAGGAGCTAACTGAATAATTGTTTGCCTCATTAACTCAAGTGACAGGCCTACAGTAATTACTATTATCACTTCATACATGAATGAGAACCGCAAATTAATTTGTTGATCAAATAATCATTATTCAGGATAGCCAATTATCTGATTGTCGGATCAATTCTCAACCATCACAAAAAACTGATCGATTCTTCAATCCATAAATAATTAATAACGTACACTTCCTAATTACGTTGATAATTGTTCATTCAATTACAAAGTTATTAAATATCAAATTAATTGGTTATTTCAACAATTAATTATTTATTATTATGATTAGTAAACTGATTAATGGATAATTTCAACCATTGATTATTTAATTATCCAGTTAATCGCCCATTAAAATTAACCATTTACAACTTCCCAATCTACCGAGTAGTTACTGTAATCACCTCGAAAATGAATCATTAGATTTTACTACCATTTCTCCATGTTTTAGGGTGTTTAAAACTTTTTTAAACCCATCTGAACGAAATACCTATTGTGTGGGTGTGACAATTTCTTCCGAATGAATTGTGCGATCAAGATGATCGATAACACAATCGGAAGGTCTTCATGTAATTTAGACCTGATTTCATTTTGAAGTGAATCCCTCCAGTGGTTTTTCCAAAGTGTCCTGGAGAAAAAAATGAAAATTTCTCAGACAAGGATTTTTCACGAATGAATTATGTAATTGTGATTAACGATATCAGAATATCACTGAAATGAATCGGTCCAGGGGTTTTCCCACGATGAAGTCTTAAAATTGATAAAGGTTGCACGGTTTGAATTATTGGATAACTTTGTAATATGCAGCGATAATTATCCAATAATGAAATAATCAAAAAATTCCTGGCGTCAATTCTTTAATGATAGTTTATTTCGTTTCGCTCACGAATTGTTTGAAGCATCGAAAGTGGTCTTGGAATAATTGACAATTGATCGGAATATTGCATAATTATGGTCTTCAATTGATGGTTGGGTAAATAATTGAAAATCTCTCCATAGAAATGATTCATTGACTAAATAATTGATTTTTTTCTAATCCGAAATTCATCATCATCAGGGTTAATCAGAAATTCCCAGATTCAATTAATTCCTCTTTAAATAATTGATAAAAAAATCAAACAGGATTAACAGTTGATACATTAATCGGTTAATTTTTCATTCTGATTAATAATTTACTAATTTATTGATAGTCGTTGATGGGTGACTATTTATTTATAAAAAAAAGGGGGTCAGCATTGATACCAATTGTCGATTAGTAAAATAATTGTCGATTAGTAAAACCAAATAAAAATTAACATTTTTTGTTTAGGAGCAAACGAAAAGGCACATTACGGCACGAGGTGAATGTAGCAACAGTGTCAAAATAATATTTTTCGTCATATATTTTCCCTGAAAGGAGTATTTTTCACCGGCAAAATTAGTTTCGATTAAGTGATGAAGGATATTTTTGTTGTCCCGATGTTCGTGAGCGGCTTTTTAGCACGCGCGGCATGTGCGTAAAACGAGGTTTCACGAATCGATCACGAATTGATCACTTTTGTGATCGATATAAATTTATATTTAATCATCACTTCAATGATTGAAAAAAACTGTTGTGTTTTTTGTAATTAACAATGGAACCGAATTAATGATGTATGAATTAAGGGGTCTCCTCAGTAGGGCCAAACGGGGATAGGCGCGCGGGTGAGTGGAGCGTAAAATGGTTAAGTAAGTGAGGTTATTTTCGAGAGAGACGAAACATCAAACATGGCGTGCGTTGGATAGTGACAGATATCACGCCAATTATTTTTATGGTTAATTTATTCAACAAATTACTGCCAAAAATCGATGAGACTTCATTCCCTTATTTTTGAGAGTTTAATATAAATAAATATAGCTTAAATAAATAAATATAGGAAAAGGGGCGTTGACACATCTCTCAGGAACACATCTACACGCAAATGCTGTCGCCAAACAAACTTGTTTCACGTCGTTGTCCTCCTCCTTCTACGTTGACATTTTCGCTTAACTGAAAAAGGAGAATCATTGTTGAACATGACCATTTCATTTAAATACGTGATTTTTATAAAGTATGTTTCTCTGTTGTTACCTCCGTATTCTTCATCCTTTTCTGCAGACAAGGATTTCAATTCCATTTTTGATGCTCGCTTAAACATTTCTGTAGGGAATAATAATAACGATGGCATGCAACTACCAGATGAAATAAAAACACATTGACTTCCACTAAAATAAAAGTATATTTAAAATGAAAGTTAAATGTCACACAAAATCCAGACACATCTTAGCTGCATGATGGTTGGTTAAAAAACTAAACTTAAGACTAAGTTTTGGGCACTTCGACTCTGGGCCCGAGCTTACCCCCCACTATAACCCCCACTCCTACGCATACCCAAAATGGCAACATTTTTGGGGGAGGCAAACTCTTAATTTCCCTGCGTGAAATTCCCCTGCATTTCCCCACACGTGCGCGCCAGACTGTCGCCAAAAGGTCTATCCCCAATAAAACCCTCAATAAACCTTACCTAGGCCGTCAGTCTATTACCCTCGGCAAAAAAGGGATCTTGGCCGAGGGTTTGCTTAAATTTCTTAATTGCTACGATGGGATTTTTCCAACGATGTTAAATTCCAACTAACTTGTAACATTGTCCCGCAAACTGATACGTTGTTCTTCATCAATTCTCTTCGATTGCTCTTCGGGTAGATATTGCTTCAGAAATGTATATATTTCATCTAGAGTAATTCTGTAATGAGATGGATAGATATTAATGGATTGGATTCAACCGTAGTCAATCCACGGATATTAATACAATTGTTGATGCATACTCTTGTTTAGATACATTTTTTTGTGCCACTAAAAGACACATGTCCCGATTAAACCTTATCTCCATGAGCTTGGTCTTCACAATCGGTAGCCCATTCTTCATTCGTGTCATATTCGTCACTTCATCTCGCAGTATCTCTTGCAAGTTTCCTAGAATTCAAGATGCAATTCTCCTATGAGATTCTCGACATGGAAATTATATCAGGATTGTTTATCCAAATGTTAATGTCAACGCGTATTAGTGCGAGCAGTTGACTTGGAGCCACTGAATGGGTTTATGTATACAAAAGAATAGGGAACATAAATTTTTTTCAAATTGATCAAATTCCCCTTTCAATTTGTTCTATGGGTCATAAAAAAAATATTCCATGGAAAAAAAATTGATTTTGATATGGATTATTAATGTTAATAATAAGTTGAAAGTTGATCGCTCGGATGGGGCACTCGGACGCTGATACGTCACAGCACAGCAGTTACACTAGGCTGCTAGTGTGCGAGAGAGAGAGCGCGCGACGGCTCTGTCGACTTCCGCTACGAGAGTGAGTGAGAGGCATGGCGACTACAGTGCTGTGATGTCACAGCCCACTCGAGGCGCCCAAAAAGTGCACTTTTCAATCAACGATTTCTCATTGAAAAATGCGAATTGGACGGTTCAAAAAATTATTGGGGAGATTGTTACAATTTCTAGATTAAGAAAAAAATATATAAAAAAATACGTATGTTCCCTATTGTTTTTTGCCAGTTATTGTTAAATTTCTCGTGATTTATGTTGTTTGTGCTTATCAACACAGTTCCCAAGTCAGCCTAAAAGCAGAAAGAATACTATTTTATATCAGAAAATGGAGTTCGACATCAGTAACAAAAAACAAAGAATTTTGCAGTGTGCCTGGCTGCAATAGTTCAGCCTATCGTGATATTACAGTGAGATTTTTCCAATTTCTCTTTAAAAAAATAAGAGTTTCGTAACATTGAAGATGAAATTCGGTGAAGAGGAAACAGTCGATCGTCCAATGGCTTGAAAAAAAATCTTGAGAATCGGAAAGCCAGTGACCAATCAATGAAAGTGTGTTCGTTACATTTTACCAAAGACGGCTTCTTCACTCAGTGTCAGTTCAGCTGAGAATCTAATGAAATTATTCAATTTTCTATTGCCAGTTGATTTTTCTGTGATCATTCGTGAATTAAATTGACTTTATTTATTTCAATTGTAGATGAAAATGGTAAAACTGTTCAATTAAAACTCATAAGTGTCCCATCTTGTAATTTGCCAAAGAGACAGCAAATCGACACAATTCTTGCATAGATACTTTCATGATCAAACTACCCGTGGAATCCCAACGAAACCCTTACAATTTTTAATTACTCCAATTGTTTACAAGAGAGATTATACGAACGTACTGACGATTACCTGCTCACGCTAGTTCGAATTTCGGCCGCACGGCGGCCAAGGCATTGGCCACCCCCCTCAGAGTTCCCAATAGAAGTGCGAATGCGGTACAGTGTAGAATCCACAACCGCATGCATAGGGTTGGACAAAGTGCCGAAATGAGACCCGATAAGGGGACTCAAAAGGCCGTTAAAAAAAGTCAGAAACCATATCCGGAATAATCTGCAATTCTATTCAACTCGTCGCATTTTTAACATCACGAATACGCAAAAACGTGAAGAGAATATCAAATTAACCTTTATTTCTTGTACAAAAGATTCTATACATTTTTTTAGAACACATTTTTATTCATTATTGAGTGGAGATTATCCCAAAGGGTTAGAAGATTCAGTATTTAAGAACTGCTCTCAAGCTGAAAGGAAGAAAATTCAAAATTTTTAAATGAATGAATTGATGAATAATTTTTCTCTCACTAGAGAACTCGCGATGTGTTCTAATTACCATTTCCCAGAATGAAGCAATTGAAAGGCCTCGTTGATCTCCTCAAACTTCATGGTGTGGGTGATGAACTCGTCGAGCAGTAATTTCTTATTCAGGTAATTATCGACGAGCTTTGGCACACTGTCCTTGGATTTCCAGCCTCCAAATGCTGTGCCTTTCCATACACGACCAGTGACCAGTTGGAATGGACGAGTGCTGATCTCCTGACCTGCAGCAGCAACTCCCACGATAACAGACGTTCCCCAGCCTTTGTGACAAGCTTCTAAAGCTGCTCTCTATGGATGATAATCAAAACAATTTTCGACACATTCTCGATCGATCTAGCATACTCATTTATAAAAAAATGCAATTGTCCGCTTGTTTGGCCTCAAGACTGTGTTATTTTGCCCCTTCTGAAGTAATTATCATCAATAATACTAGACTGCCAATTGAGGGTGAAAATTTCTCCAACAAAATTTCCCCGACATTCCTCCCCCCCCCCCCCCCCGCCGCTCCACATTTCCTCGTACCATTTTTTCCTCAGGCTTTTTTCCTCGACATTTTTTCCTTAAAAATGCATGCTAAGACCAATGTATTCTCTTTGCATTTCTTTCCAATTTTGCAATTAATTTTATTTACAAAGGAAAAAAATTATTCAGTATTCACTTTTTTAAATTATATGTGAACGATAGNGGTCGAGCGTGAGAACCACTGCTTTCCTATTTTCGGCAAACGAATTTTCGGCTAGCTTCCACTCTATACGATAGTGGCATTGTGAACACTGTTCTCGTGAGTAACTCGTCGGAACTGTTGTAATTGGGAGAATTTGATCATCACTCAGGTGCGATACTTGAGGATTATCCCCCCCACTTATTACAATGGTCAATAAGCAACAGAAAATCGATGATAGACCGAACTTGAATTGGAGATGAAGCTATCATATTGGCAACAACAGCCGTAGTCATCACTCATTCACAATAGGAAGGATTATCCTCTCTCAACGTTACTATCATCAGCCGTGGGAGAATTTTATTTTGTTATTGAGGATTATATACCCACACAATGGAGATTTTTATTGAAGGAATTGAATACTGCACTTTTTTTTCTTCTCTATATAAATAAAAAAATAAGGAAGTTTAAAAATTCAGGAGACGCCTTTAATCACAAGGGTCATGAGGGTCATAAGGGTGATATGAGGGGTTCCTATATGAGAAGTCCCATATGAGGGGTCCTCATATGAGGTATCCTCATAAAAATCATAAGAGTCATAAGGGGTCCTAATATCAGGATGAAGGGTTTTGATATAAGGGGTCTTGATATAAGGGATCCTGATGTAGGAGGGTAATTTTGACTATTATCTGTAACCCTCATTCTGACTTTTACTTGTGATCTTTATTTACCAATCCTGTTCCTCATTGTATCCTTAAATTAATCTGAGTTTTGAAATAAGGCCTTATATCTTCCAAAAACTTGTCTTATAAAGAGCTTCATTTTATTCTTCTCTTTTCATCATATTTGGCTTTAACTATGCTCCGTTCCTTTTCTACTTTTACGATCATCTTCGGATAATGAGGTTTAAAAAAACCCTTACGGTCACATCGGCTCGGTCANGGGGGGGGGGGGGGGGGGCTAAGCCCCCCCCCTGGGGTTGACGAGCGGAGCAAGCATGGGGCGAAGCCCTCTAGTTGTAAATAAATACATTGCAGAAATTGGCAGGAGATGGAAAGGGAAAACACTTGTGTTATCATGTATTTTTGAGGAAAAAATGTCGGGAAAAAAAACGGTGAGGAAAAAATAGCACGACGAAATTTTGGAGGGGAAAAATGTCGGGGTAATTTTGTTGGGGAAGAAAAGTCGTGGAACCCCAATTAAGCACGAACTCAACCAGAATGTTTTTATTCATATCAACTTCCATTTAGAATGTATTTCAGATTGTCACAATTTTAGGAAAATTGAAGTTATGTTTATTTTACTTTAAAATCAATAAAAGAATGACTCACCATAGTCTGGACGTTTCCCACGCACTCGAAAGTGTAATCCAATCCCCCATCAGTGAGTTCAATCAACACTTCCTGAATGGGACGAGTGTGGTCCTTCGGATTAACGAATTCAGTGCATCCGAAGGCTCTTGCCGGCTCGAACTTCTCGGGATTAACGTCGATGCCGATGACTCTGGATGCCCCAGCCTCTTTGCATCCTAGGGCGACTGCCAGACCGACAGCCCCGAGACCCCAGATGGCACAAGTGCTTCCGGGCTCGACTTTGGCGGTGTTGAGGGCTGCCCCGTAGCCGGTGGGAACTCCACACCCGAGCAGACAGATCTTCTCTAGAGGAGCTTTGGGATCGACCTTGGGAAGACAATCATGAGAATTAATTCCAAGGAGACATAATTATTTTCGAATGACGTTTCTCGAGCTCTGTGTGAACATCATGCATTTCGATGAAATTGACGTTCTCGACCATATGTTTTCAAGTTATTAAAATTCCTTTGGACCATGTCCATATTTTATTCATCGTTCTTATTGGAACTCTTGTGACCCTTAATCTGACCCTCGTGACCCGCATTCTGACCCTGATGATACCTTTCGTGACACTTAACCTGATCCATTTGACCCTTAATCTGACCCATGACTCTTAAGCTAACTCTTGTGACCCTTCTGGCCCTCATTATACCTTTTGTGACCCTTAACCTGACCCATGACCCTTAATCTGACCCATATGATTCTTAAGCTGACCCTTGTGACCCTTAATCTGACCCTTGTAACCCTCAGTCTGACGCTCATGACCCTTGTGACCCTTAATTATGAAGTTTTAATTTCAAGTACCAAAGTTTTATCACCAGAAGTCGATTTGGATTTTTATAATACAGAGATATTATCAATTAATTAATGAAAATCAATCACTTCTGTCGTACCTTCGCAAGAGAAACATCAGCAACAACAGTATACTCCGAGAAAACCGAGCACCCCATGAAATGAAAAATGGGTTTCCCCTTGCAGGTGAATCTGGTCGTGCCATCTGGCATCAGACCCTTTCCCTGAGTGACTCGAATCTTCTGGCAGAGATTGGTCTTTGGGGATTTGCAGAATTTGCACTCTCTGCACTGAGGAGTGTAGAGAGGGACGACATGATCTCCTGGCTGAAACTCGGTGACGCCTGGGCCGACGCTCTCGACGATGCCACTGCCCTCGTGCCCCAGGACACTGGGGAAGACTCCCTCGGGGTCGAGCCCTCCCAAGGTGTAGGCATCGGTGTGGCATAGGGCGACTGCCACGACTTTTATGCGAACCTCATTGGCTTTTGGTGGGGCCACTTCGATTTCTTCAATCGAAAGAGGCTCCTTCTCCTTCCATGCTACCGCTGCACGGCATTTAATCACCTATTGCATGGATTTTAGGAGGAATTTATGGGGACATTAAGAACGGGTTTCAACATAAATCGGTGATCAAGCAGAAATTTATGTCCAGACTAGAGATGTGGAATGATCGTCATTTTCATTTGCTATTTTAGCTTCCGAATGGAAGCTTTGTAGGCTGAATGGGCCAACACGCATATAAAATTCTGTAGAAAACCTAGCGAATTCGTTAGAAAATTCAATTCGCGATCGCAGCGTAGATGTGAGAGCCACCAAGTGGGTTTTAAACTAACTACTCTTGGGGGCCAACCAATGAAATCATTGGGAGTGAACCAATGATAGGCATCAACCAATGAGATCACGGAGAGAACAGTGATCTCATTGGTTGGCCCCGAAAAGTAGTTAGTTAGAGACCACTTAATGGCTATCAAATCTATGTTGCGTTTGCGAATAAGAATTCTATAGGGTTTCTATAGGATTTTTATTGGAATTCTATTTTCTATCTTTCAATAAGAATGCCCTATTTCTATAAGAATTCCAATAGAATTTTCTAGCGAATCCGAGGTTTTCTATTGAATTTTTTCGTACGTGTAGAATAGCATATTGCTAATTTATTAGCAAAAATAACTATACTATATGCAATACAAGAGCAATTTTCCACTTGTTTTATAATTTTTAAAAAATTTTTACACATTTTAGTCGTCTCTCTAACCTCGAAATGTTCATTCGCTAGTAAGACTGTGCTATTTAGGTACTTCTAAATGAATTAATTATCGATAATATTAAACTGTCAATTGAGTATGAACTTAACCAGACTGTTTTTACTCATATCAACTTCCGTTTAAAATTAATTTCAGATTTTAATTAAAGTTGTTTATACTACGTTAAACAGCTCTATCGAATTCGTGTCACGTATTATTGAAGAGTGGATGATTTTTCTTCAATTTAATTCAATTCAGCGACATGTGGGCAATTCATTATCAGTTGTTATGACAATTGTTCTGGAATTGGAGTGACAACTAGGGTTAGAAACTCTTGGAAAATTCTACTCACTTGACCTGCAGTTGCCATTGCGTAGTTTCTTCAACAGATTGATTCTCACTGAATATGAGAACAGATTTGCAATGAGTACCAGTTGAAAATATTGCTGTTATCATTAATTTTTAAAGATTAGAGCGGAGCAGGGGGTCTCGTGTTGTGCGTTAAATAACAAGTTCAAGGACACTTCGAACTCGGTTCGAGTGGCACTCGCCGGTAAGTCCCGGCAACTGTTCAAATGCATAATTTAGTCTGTGCTTTGCACAATTGAATTAAAACTTCAAACATAAAACGTATTGAACAATTATTTGTNTTGGGCCTTATATACTAATTGCTGGTAAGACTCGACAGTCGATAAAGTAAAGTTAAAAATTTAATATAACGCCATCAGGTGGCCAAGGTAGGGACGTAACAGTGCAATTAATCATGCGTCAATTTTCCTCAGTATTTCTCTCACTGATCAGAAATGCAGTAATGGAAAATAATTAATTCCCAAGAAAAACTATTCATTGAATAAAACATAAAATTTTGTTTCCATTATAAAAGAATTTATTAAACGTTCGCATTCGCAAAAACTTTTCGTCCAAATTTCCCGGCCAAATTCCGGAAATATTTATCGTGTTCAAGTTCCACTGAAATTGCAGGAAATGTTGTCATTAAAAAATCAAATATTCCATTGATTTTTTTTTCAAATGACCTAGAAATCAATAAAATACTTTGTTTTTCAGTTTAATTACCCACACGGAAAAATTTATATTTTGAAAAATATATTAAAAGATATCTTAAATTGGTCCATTACATTGTATTAATCCGATAAAATGTTTCATCTCCGATTTTTATTCTTTGCTAGTTTTTTCATGTATTCTATCAAAATGTGAGGATAGAAATTGAATTGATGGGTATTCTTTCATTATTTGGAAAAATATATCAATTCTAAAACTTTCCGGGGACATTGAAAAATCGAAATTTGTATTTTCTTGCCGATCACGTATCTCTGTTCTTTTTTTTCACTTTCTTCCATTGGAATTAGATCATAGAAAGAGAACATATTGATATTTTTTCGTCATTAAAAAAAAATCAGTTTTAAAATTTTTCAGAAAAATAAAAAATCGTTTTCTTTTATTTTCTTGCTGATCACCTCTCCCTGCATTTTTCTCATTTCCTCTCAATGAAATCAGATCATGAAAATGAAATTTTTCGTTTTCATGATCTGATTTCATTGAGAGGAATTATTATATTGTACTGATATTATTTAACATAAATATCTCTTCATTTGAAAATGAGAAAAACTGTTCCCAAAATTTGTATATAATAGGAATAGAATCCAATAAATTCAATTTAATCTAACACAAAGAAAAATTGGAAAGAAAACAATAAAATAAATTAATATAATATAATCTAGCGACGGGCGCGAGGCGCCCGTTCGCTGTTTATATTTTTAAAAATATATATAATATTCTATATATTAAAAAATATATAAAATAGATGATTTATAAATTTTTTTTTATATATTCTTTATAAATTTGAAAAATATATGGAATTGGTCCATGTTATATATTTGTTAAATATATTTTTTGATAGGGGTATTCTGTGAAAATTCAGGGAAAAATTGAAAATTCAATCAAGTTGTGAAATTTCCATCTCATTTCCACTGAAAACTCATGAATTTCCAAGAATTCTACTTAAAACTTGAAATTTCATAACCATTTTTCCCCTAAATTCGATTCAATGTCACTCTCACCAAATTTAACCAATCAATTTTGCACCATAACAATTGTTGTTTCTGAATCACAACAAGTTTATTCATGTTTAGAATTTTACCAGAAATGGAGTTCATGGCTAAAAAAATAAGGTTTCCGGAAATTTAAACAATTTTAATTATTTATTTATAAACAACGAATATTTAAAAAATAATAATTCTGTGCAAAATGCAATTTAAATGGCGCTGAATATTCATGATTTTTTGCGAATTTTTTTCACGCAATTTAGTTGACAAATTTAATAAATGAAAGTGGTTGAATCTATAGTGCGGTCGGTATCAAACTGTAAAACATACTTGGATATCCTTAAAAATGATTCTCAATTTATTCAATTTTTACACAAGGAATCGTTAAATTAGGACATGATTGCATTAGATTTGAATGAATTGCCAAATTAAAGAAAAAGCTATTGAAAAATTTATTTTGTCCCAATTTTCACAGGTACACTGAAAGAAAAACCAGTTCTCAAACAAGTCTTGTTGAAGCCAACAAAATCGCTAATTTAAAACTGTAAAAAAAATTTTTTTCTGCCGCAAGTAAAACTTGTTTGAGAACTCTGTCGTTTTTCTCTTAGTGTCATAGCGATATTCACAATGGGGCCGACAAAATTCAAATTACTTCTAGAAACAACTCTAAACCCCCAATGAAGAGTGCCCCAACGACGCAAGGTTTGAAGAATTCTTTCAAATTTTCGAGTTTGAAAAATTCCTTAAAAATTATACTCATGCAATTCAATTGACAAATTTCATTATTAAAAATGCCCAAGGGGCTGGGCTATTCTTAAGCTCAATTCATAATTAACTTGAAGAAAATTACAAATAACTAAGAACAGGTCAACTTTTAAGAACTCAAGAATTGGCTGTTAATTTCATTCAAAACCCTCGATGGTGAACCGAAAAATTTTAAACTTCTCCATTCACTATCTACGGATCATCTTATTCAGCCTCAAGACACCTAAATGCGCAGCATTGACAATCTTGACAAAAGTGAAGTGGGCAGTTATTTAGTCCACCCATGTCCCAATCACACGAGTTTTGAAGAATTCTTTCCAATTTTGAAGCTTCAAATTTTTTTACAAATTTTACTCATGAAATTTAATTCACTAATTTGATGCTTAAAAACTCCAAGGGGCTGAGCTATTCTTAAATCAAATCATAATCAACTTAATCAAAATGACAAATAACTGAAGACAACTCAACAATTGGTCGTTGATTCCCCTCCAAAACCCTAGATGGTGAACCAAAAAATCTTAATCTTCTGAATTCACTATCTATGGATTTTCTTATTCTAGCTTAAGACACCTCAATGCGCAGCATCTGGACACGAGTGAAGTGGGCAATCATGTAATCCACGAATGCCCCAATCACGCATTTCTTTTAAATTTTGAAACTTCAAAATTTTTTTGCAAATTTTAGTCATGCAATTTAATTCACAAATTTGATGCTTAAAACTCCAAGGGGCTGAGCTATCTTAAAGTCAATTTACAAACAACTTATTCAAAATTATAAATAACTGAAGACAACTCAACTCTCAACAACTCAACAATTGGTCCTTGATCCCCTCCAAAACCCTAGATGGTGAACCAAAAAATCATAAACTTCTGAATTCACTATCTGTGGATTTTCTTAGTCAACCTGAGGACACCTCAGTGCACAACATCTTTGCAAGAGTGAAGTGGGCAATCATTCTTTTAAATTTTGAAGCTTCAAACTTTTTTTGCAAACTTAACTCATTCAATTTAATTCACAAGTTTGATGCGTAAAAACTCCAAGGGGCTGAGCTATCTTAAAATCAGTTTACAATCAACTTATTCAAAATTATAAATAACTGCAAACAACTCTGCTCTCAACTCAACAACTGGTCGTTGATTCCCTCCAAACCCGTAGATGGTGAACCAAAAAATTTTAAACTTCTGGATTCACTATCTATGGATTTTCTTCTTCAACCTCAAGACACCCCCAATGGGCAGCATCTTGACGAGGGTGATGAAGTGAGCAGTCATGTAGCCCACGAGTGCCCCAATGACGCAAGGAATGGGCCAGACCTGCCAGGGTCTGTCCCAGTCCAGAGGGATGACGATGACCCCCAGCCACGTCCCCAGGAGTGTCGCCTTGATGTTCAGGCTCATAGCTTCTGCAATGACATTGTTACTACTCGAGAACTGAAGGCGAGAAAGAATTCCCAGAGTGGGGTCCACCCCCAGGTGGAGGCTGGGAGTGACGAAGGTCAGGGTAGTCAGAGTGATGGCGAGCATGGAGGTTTCCTCTCTGTGGGTGGACAGCGGAGCCCCGAAGAGGATTATCAGGACGTAGTAGATCGAACACAACATCAGCAGGAGCGTCAGAAACTTGACGATCTCCCTCATGCCTCTGGCCCAGGGCTTCCTCGAGCGAGGGAAACGAGTTTCTAGTTTTCCGAAGTGGTTCTGGTCCCTCGAGAGGACTGAGAACGCCCATTTTATCCCCTCAGCGAACATCAGGATCAGGAGGATCGGGATGAACTTGTACTTCCCCACATTGTAGAGGTTTTCATTGAGCTTCAGGAGGATCAGGATACAGGGGAAGTAAATGCACGTGAAAGAGGAGTAAAAGAGAAGCTGACGGTGCCCTGGTACTCGTTCTGTCAGCATTTTCCCGCAGCTTTGCTTCCGAACGGAAGCTTTGTAATCGTTGATTCTGACGATTTTGTAATTTTGCCTGGAAATGACGTAGAATGTCATGAAATGTGAAGATATGTTTTTAGAAAATGCGTGTATGTATATGCGGATGTGTGTGCGAATTTTTCGAAAATTTTTATAAATTTTCCCAGAAAAAGGACTAGATTTGAAGCTAAAAATCTGAAATTTCGTCACATAATTGGTATTACTTTGGAGCACTTTTTGGCCCAATTTCAGCTCAATTGGTCAACTAGTTTCCAAGATACAGCAATTTTTCAAAAATCTTTTTTTTCTCAATATCTCGAAAACTACGTGACTGAATTGGATTTTTTTTACGTCAAAATATTTCTTGTTTCTTCAGTTTGGTAATAATCGGCCTTGTCAGTTTCTGTGGGAAAATCGTTCTGTGCACGATAATTCTCGAAAAAAATTAGATAGGATGTCGAAATTTGGTGATATTGTATTTCTTATGATATTACAGGACAGGATTGTGGATTGGCGAAATTGGACGAGTGTTTTAGAAGACATTCAACTTTTAGTGAAAAATGGTTCTGTTCAATATCTCCCAAACTACTGGTCCGATAAATCTAATTTTTTTTTAAGACTTGTCTTGTTTTTGCTTCCGAATGGAAGCTTTGTAATCGTTGATTTTGACGATCTTCTAATTTTACCTGGAAATTACTCGTAAACATCTGTTGAAAACTATTATTTAGTGGCCCGCTCTATTAAAAAATTCCGCATCTTTACTGCATATTTTTTTATAGAAAATGATCAACAAAAATTATTTTATAGAAAGAAATTAATCGAATTGTAGTTTTCTATATAACCTTATGTATTGGAGCATTTTCTATACGAATCCCTTGACATCAATTTTCTAATTTTATTCTACTCTATTTCCCTTATTTTTCATTGAGACGAGGCGAGGAATTTCTATAGAACATGTCACAATAGACTAGGTTGTCTAGAAAAATCAAGTTCTATTGATTTATTCTATAGAATACGTTCCATTGCACGTTTCGTTTCAAAAACTGATGGAAACTTCCAGTAGAATTTGGGCGCGTTTCGCAATCGACTTAGTAGCAGTAGCAGTACTGTAACCCTATCTAATTTCGCTTTACTGCAGCTACAGTAGTTGATTCCGAAACGCACCCTTTTTCAACGAATTCTACTGCGAATTTTTCAACGAATACACGGTTTTGATATAAAAAAATTTCGTACGTGATCTGTAATGTAAAAATTCTGGAAGAAAATTGTCACTCAACTTTAAATAATTTAATTGTTGAAATTGAAGTATTTAACAAGATCATTGTGCATAGAATTAATTTGCTTACTTCTATTCTGTTGTTATTTATTTCTAGTTTGTTTACTTACGAATGAAGTAGATGGCTGGGTAGGGCTCACGGTTAATTGTTGGTTATTGATAAATATCACGGATTATTTTTGTGTCAGTATGGCTGAGGGTGATTGATGAAGCCAAGTGTTCAAGTGGTTGGAACAGAACAACAGTGGATTTAATTACAAAAAAGGCTTATTCATTCCTATTTAATTTCGTTAGTTCTTTATTTATTTTTATTTTTTTAAGATGCAAGGCGGACGGGGGCTCACCATCAGCTGTTCACGCCCCTTGTTTCGTCCCAAGCTGCTGGTTCAGATTGGCCGATCCGTTACCCGTGGAGCAGAGTTGTGCATCTGTCGATAAAGGCAGTTTGTTGCATAACATTGTTGACAAACCCATAATTTACGTAATAAATGTAAAAAAAGTAAAAAACCTTATAACGTCACATTTCATGGTAAACCGTGAAAGCTTGCGAAGGGCATCACGTATGAAAAAATTGAATAGAAAAGTTTAGCGAATTCGCTAGAAAATTCGATTGGAATTCTCTAATATTTATTTATTCCATCATATGTATACCCTCTCGGGCCTTTACATTTTGTTCCCATCCCTATAATGAAACCCCGATATAGAATATTGATAGTTATAATAAAAAAAAACAAAATACATGAATGCCATATGGGCCAGTCAGTTGCCCCAGTCAGCAGCGTTTTTCCTGCACCAGATCCAGGGACTTGTAAAAAGTTGGTTGAACCGCAGACCCGCGAAGCCATCACCATCGCCATCAGTACGGTTGTCAGAAAGTACTCCAAGGCCGCACCGTTTCCAGAATGACTCCATGTTTCCATTCCCTTTCCATTTTCCAACGCCATGGCCTCAGATCGAGAGAACTACTCCTAGGCCACACCATTCCAAAGGACGACTCCAAGTTTCGTCACCCCCTCTCATCATCCTTTCCTTGGTTGAAGGAGACCACTTCAAGGCCACACCACCCCTAGGGCGGCCCCAAGCTTCTTCTCCCCTCCCGCCGCCATCTCCATGTTCCTAGCTGGAACTCAAACCTCGTCAAAGCGCTGCCATCTCCTGGCCACAAGGGACCCTAGCAGCTACCACATCCCTTGTGGTCCCCTCCCTGATTCTGTTCCATTCATAGCCGTTTCCCTTTTCCCCTGTTCAGACTGTTGCTATGTACCCCTATAACTATTTCAATTCTATTTCAGGAGATGCCCCCCCCCCCAATTTCCGCCAATTTCTCTGGGCATTTGTCAGCTCTTCCCTCCATAGTCCCCCCAATAGTCCACCAATTTAGCAACAACCCCCCCAAATTTCACTGCACTTTCTCCGGATAACTGTCGGCTCTTCCCTCCATAGCCCCCCCCCCCATAGCCCGCCAATTTAGCAACAACAATTTGTCAACTGCATTCCCAAAATATCACTCCTTTCAGAATTCATCCACTGAGGCACCTCCGCAAAGTTTCCCTCCATATTTCCCGAAAGTCCCTTGATGCACTCCCAAACATAGCCGACACAATCATGTTGTCTCGTTCCCTCCTTGGGTGTCACACACCTATCCTTGCCTTGCCTCAGTACCCAAATCTTTCCTTTTTATCCTCCTCATCAATGTGTTTCTCCCGCAGAATAGCCGCAGCCTCACCATCAACTACCACGTGGATCTTCCCCAAATTCCCGATATAACCTCCTTTCTATATTCACACATGATGCTTGCCGCCAGTTTCTCTGCCCCTCTCACTCCTCTCGCCCAGTTCGTTAGGCGTCAGCTAACCTCGTCGCCCGCCCTCCCAGAAAACAGTCTTCAAACTTCCCAGATTTCACTATTTCATCCCGAACTTATTATTCCCTTGGAAGATTGCCTCTTGAGGAACCCCCAGTCACTTTTCCTCCAATATTTACCAAAAAAAACCCATAATTTTTCCCAAAAACTGACGACGCAACCCCCCAATGAACCACCTCTCACGAGCGCCACCACCCGTCCGAATTCTCTAATATTGTAAAGCTACTTTTTTCGAATTCATACTATTGAATAAGCAATAATATGAATTCGATTTGTTAATGGTTATACTGATAAACCATGGAGTTTTATGTTTTATATACAAATCATTGAAATTTATTCCAAGTCGTACATTGTTTCATCATTCTTACCGTTGCGTTCCGGATGTGCGTCTTCGCGATGTTCTCGGCTTTCGCCCAAGACCGTAAGTCCTATACGATTAATAGAGCTTTGACACATAAATTGTTTTTCTCATTGTATACATGTCTAAAATGTGAGGAAGATAAATTGTGTATCAGCACGTATGAAAAAATCATATAGAAATTTTCTATACGGATTACGTATAGAAATTCTATAGGCAGAGAGTCGTATAGGATCAAACCTATAGAAATCGTATAGAAATAATTTGTGTAATAAATATCCGTATAGAAATATCCGAATATCATATACCAAAATCCTATAGAAATTCTATACGCAATCCGTACAGAAAATTTCTATACGATTTTTTCATACGTGAAAACGCTGAAAAAAATTGTTAATTTTTTGTGATTCAGTCTATTGAAAATATTTACCAAAACAATAAAGATGTTGAAGAACAAAACTTGTGTTATTCATTCTTGAACAAGAGTGTTCAAGTTCCTTTGTGGCCACGACAGCTGCAAAAATTTCACTTCAATTCATATTTTTCATTTTAGTTCTTCTCACACCGTAAGCAACTTTGTTTCTGTCTACTAATGAAGTGAACCAATGCAGGATTCTGCGAGTTGAAAATGTGAAGACGTTGAATAGAATTCTCCTATACGCAATATGTAGAGTTTCCCGCTGTAGATGCTACAGCCAATCGCCAACAAAAATAACCCAGCAAATAACAGATGCACGAAACTTTAGGAGTCAATCATATCGATCAAAGAGGATGATAGACCATGTTTTTCCGTTTCTGCCATCAAAGATCTACAGCGGGTATCTGTTACTGTTTATTTATTCAAAACAATGATGTATGTTCCCAGGAAGGACAATTTGGAATCTTTCCGCGAATACTTTCTTACTGTTTTGCCCTGGAAAAACCGTGCACTTGAGACATGAAGATGAATAAAGCATTCATTCAGACTTCTCTTAATGGACATGGATTTTCTACCTCACAGTTTCGCGATCTTCACAGCGAGTGGATTATGGAGATCCCTGAGATGGTCATCGGGGCTGAAGAAACATGTATACGATTGTTACACCTTTCTTATCCTCGTTATTGTGTATTTATTTGGTTTCATGGAATTTGTCGATGCAATGTGCGACTTCGGAAACGTTGAGGAGATGGTTAGCGCGTCTTTCATGCTTCTCACGACAGGTAATACATTTTGTAAGGCTCTTAACATGATGAACCGACGGAAAGATATTAATATTTTTGCAATATTGAATGACGACGTTTGTCGGAGTAAGAACCAAGAAGAAGACGAGATTCAAACCAAGATTAATATTCGCATCAGGTGGGTTTGCACATCGCGTTGTGCTCGTGTTAAGGTACTTCCGCAGTAAGTATACTTGGTGAAAATTTCGAAATGGTATAAAGACACAATATTTGGATCATATGTTGTTGACCACATTAAAAAGATATTCCCAAAATTTCAAGTCCCTGGTCCACCCCATTTTTGAGATATGCATCGCCAAACATTCAATTTTTGTTTTTTCCATTTTTGACGATGTATATCTCGAAAATGGGGTGGACAAAGTACTTGAAATTTTGGGAATAGTTTTTGAATGTGCTCAACAACATATGATCCAAATATTGCGTCTTTATACCATTACGAAATTTTCACCAAGTATACTTACTGCGGAAGTTCCTTAAGAGGCCTCAAGGTTGAAAAAAAATTGCTGTAATGCGGGGAAAACACAAATTCTCAGCCAACAGGGAGTGGAAGAATCTCAAATGTGGCATAAAAAAATTGTTCATTTTATATAAACCAGATAGAGCGAGTTGAGAGTAATCTGAAGAGAATAAATAGTTTTAAGAAATGTTTAAAAATACGAGGTGCGGGCTCCGCCATCTTGCTTGGACAAGAGCTTTGAAGATGGCGGCGCTCAGCTATTACCACCTCGTATTTTCGAACATTCCTTAAAATTATTTATCCTCTTCAGATCACCTTCAACTCGTTGCATCGAGTTTTTTGAAAATGAACAATTTTTTCAAGCGAGTTAGAATTCATGGCGTGAAATTTTCACATTTCAGTAGTTTTTTAAACTTTTTTTATCTGAAATAAAATTCATACAATCATCTATATGATATTGAACTTGTGAAGGAACAATGCTGCGTGATGTTTTTGCATTGTCCAGAGTGCAGTTGTTACGATAACAATATCGTCAGTAAAACAGAATGTACCCGATCGTACATTACCATTCAAAGCTTGGATACCATTGAACTACAGTTCAGATAACGTCTATTGGTATTTCTATTATTATCAAGTGATAGCATACACCACAGTGGGAATAATTTCCATAGGCTACGATACAATGGTGGCTGGAATTATGCTGCTCACTGGTGCACAGTTGAAAATCTTCAAGTTCAGGTGTGAAAATATGCTCGCAAATGTCGAGGAGGAGCAGAAAAAATCAAATTTGTCTAAAGTAGATCTGGAGAGGAAAATTCTGAAGCAATCCGTGTGGCATCACAAGACTATCCTCCAGTAAGTACAGTACTGTCGGACTGACGAGTCCGTTCCCTTAGTTTTCAGAGCTGGGAGATATGGATCTATGTGGGGATTAGCCAAAGTGGGGGTAGCTGCGAAGAGAACGGACTCGTCAGTTTGCCTATAGACTCCCGTTATAGTCGTTAGTCGCACTCATGGGGAACTTTGCTGGGAGTCGTCAAGTGGGACAGGATATCTATTCCAATATCTGAACTATCCTTTTTTTTTCTTCTTCCTTTCTTTTTCTCCTCCCCTTTTCCATCCTTGTTTTTTTAACGCTCTGAAAATTGATAGTGGTCCTAGAGACCGCCACCGGACTTCCATATTGTTAATCGACTATCCAATTACAAGTGAAAAGTGTTTCCTAAGTGGACTGAAATTGGAATCTCGGAAGATTTCAATTTCGAGAAATTGTGAAGTTGGATGGATTTTAACATATTCTAAATCTATGGGCTATTTTTCCCTGTTTTATTTTTTCCAAGGCTGTTCTAGTAGCTTCGCGTGCCTAAAACGTCCCTTTTCCACACATTGTGATGAAAAATATCGTTCGATACTCGTGGGAAAAGTATTTTTTGGCTCGCGGGAGGTTTGTAGCACGAGTCGAAGGTGAGTGATATAATCCCACGAGCCAAAAAACTCTTTTCCGCACTCGTAACGAAATATACTATTTTCCGGGCTGTTGCGATGAGGTTTTTTACTCGTGTGGCGTCGGCGTCCGAGCCGAACGCGAGGACTGGCCAACCACAAGTAAAAAAACTCCATCGCAGCAGCCCGGGAGAAGATTTTTTAATAGTGATTTTTAAGTTTTCGAGTTTGGGAAGTATGCAATACCAATTTCCAGACGAGAAATCGTGAGAAGCAGTACAGAAATAGTATATTTCGCGTCGAGTGCCACTGGGGATTCCTACGAGTGAGGTTGGCACGTCGAGCCTTCCCCGCCGAATCCTGCCTTCGGCTTAGCGTGCCAACCTTACACTCATTGCAAACCTCTGTGGCACTAGGCGAGAACGATATTTTTCGTGTCACGGGAGAGCGCCACGAAAATGGAGTTTTTCAGGTCCCTCAACGAGAAAATTAATATACACACCTCGCCATGGAAAACATATCACCCTCCCCCACATGCTTGCCACCCTCGCCTTCGCCTCGGAAGGCAATCTTGCACGTAGAGATGCGAAGGCGTCATGTGACCGGGCATAAAGTGGTCATGTAACCGTCATTGACCCAATGACCGCCGGTCCAGTCACAAAAAATTTTTCTATGACGGTCGCAATTGGCCGAAAAACTGTGACGGTCATTTTGCATCTATATAGGTGAAACACTTTTTTGTTCATCTATTTTTTTCTAATTAACCAGAACTCTTGACTTTGTTTACTTACTTTAGTATTTAGAACTCTTGACTTCGTTTATTTTGTTCCAAAGATGAAAAGTGTAATCATTCTCTCATGAATATGCAAAATAGTATATTTCGTAACGAGTGCAAAAAACATTTTTTCACGAGTTACGAACAATATTTTTCATCACAATGTGGCGGAAATTGGACTTTTAGGCACAAAATTCACTTTTCGTCACAGCGTGATGAACATATATGTAAGCACATGTTTCCTAATTTTATAATTAAAAAAAGCTGTTGTACAGTTGTATACATACATTTCGAGTCTTCCATAAGAACCTTATAATAAACAATAATTGATAATCAATAATAAATTTAACCAATAAACGATGCCAATTATGTACAAATTATATCACCGTCACAAAAAACAATATATTTATGATGGTCATTTTGCACCTATATAGATGGTTTGGTAACGGAATAGTATATTATGTCATCAGGCGATAAAAGTATTATCTGGCGAATACTAGATCGCGGTTCGAAACTACTAGAACTCGCCTTCGGCTCGGATTATAAAGCCACATTCGTCAGATAATGCTTTTATCGCCGTGTGACATACGATATTTTATGTCGTTTTGCCCGAAAACCGCGATCTAACCGAGCGAGACGAGGTTAGAATCGCGGCTTATCGGGCCTAAGGACATAAATTACTATTTTACTCCTTTGACGGTCAAAAATTCTTTGTGACGGTCACAAAAAATTTGTGGCCGTCATTTGCCATTAGAAATTTCGGAACGTCACCTGACCGTCACAAGATCGTCATTTTTTGGTCATATAACACAATCACAAAAATGACGGTCATTTCGCATCTCTACTTGCACGTGGGGGACGGTGTTTTGTTTTCCAAGGCTCGGTCATGTAATGTACTATTTCCGTGGCTGATAAAGCCAATTGTTTACGGATCCAGGGCAGGTAGAGATGAGGAGGGGAAGAAGGTCCAATAAATAAACCAGTTGTTTATTAGAATATTAAAAGTTTTATTCACCGTTAACTTCTCTTCCTTACATCTCAGAAGCGACCCAACTAAACACGCAGATGGCGTACAGGCTTGCCACTGACCATGCTCATGCGCACAAACAAAAAAATATGCATAGCTCACTTCAACACTTCCGCTGCTTAAATATTTTTCATACTCTCGCATTCAAACAGCCCAATGCTCTTACTGTGAGCCAAAAAACGAGGCAGGGCTTTAGTAAGAATATCTGCACGTTGTGTTGCAGATGGAGTATAGACCACTCGCAAGACTCCTGCCTCTGTTATCTCACGCAATTGATGAACTCGAATATCAATATGCTTAGTTCTCTTATGAAACTCGCGATTCTTAGCCAAATTGTGCTTTGATTGTCGACATACAATACTGTTGGCTGATTGCACTTACGTCCAATGTCAGCCAACAGCCTCCTGAGCCATACAACCTCTTTCGCAGCAGCTGATGCAGCGACATATTCTGCCTCAGTGGTGCTTAAAACTACTAACTTCTGTCTCTGGGATGCCCAAGTGACCGGACCGCCGGCCAGTCTGAATACATACCCCGTCGTTGAGCGTCTAGTCTCGAGATCACCCGCATAGTCTGCGTCAGAATACCCAATCAATTGTGGTTCACTTCCACCACTCTGATACATTATTCCAACATTTTTGGTTCCGACTAGAAATGCAAAAATACGCTTCACTGCTCGCCAGTGAATGTCACTCGGATTGTTTAGGAACTTACTTGCCGTATTAACGGCGTACGCGATATCCGGTCTCGACACAGTTGCTAGAAACATTAGTGACCCGACAGCCTCTCGATACGGTGCATTGCACAACTTCTCATCATCTGCCTCTACAGGCTGCAACGTAACATTCGGATCTGCGGGTACCGAAAAAGATTTCGCGTTAGTCATGTGAAAACGATTAAGAATTTTACGTGCGTACGCGCCTTGATACAAAAACATTGTTTTCTCAACACGATTACGAGCTATTTGCAACCCAGCAAAATGACTACAATCCCCAATAGTAATCTCGAACTCGCTTCTCATTTTCTCTATCACACTTTTCAACATGACTCCTGATTTACAAGCTACTAGTCCATCATTCACAAATAGAGCAAGATAAATTTGACAGTCCTTATTGACAATACTATAGAAAATGCACTCGTCTGCAGTGGATTGCACAAATTTGCATCGTTGCAAAAAATCACAGAATTTGCGATTCCAGCACCTAGGTGCTTACTTCAAACCATACAATGACCTTTTCAAACGACATACAACCTCATTCTCGCTTTCTCGGACGTTCAGGCCCACTGGAACCTTCATGTGAATTTCCTCTTGAAGATCTCCGTACAGGAACGCAGTGCGAACGTTGAATTGAACCATTTCCAAGTCTTTCTCAGCTACTGTTACCAACAGAACTCTCAGTGAATCGTAGCGAACAACCGGTGAAAAAGTCTCCTCGAAGTCCACGCCCTTTTCTTGCAGAAAACCTCTAGCACACAACCTCGCTTTATACCGGCTCACGCTCCCATTAGGTCTCTGAGCAACCCTGAAAACCCACTTGGAGTCAATGGTTTCTCTTGTCTGATCCCTAGGTACAATCTCCCAGGTGCCATTTATCTCATGTGCTCTGAGCTCCTCTTCAATCGCTCGCTCCCAATGATCAGCATCAGGTCCACTTAGTGCCTCGTTAAAATTTTTCGGAGCACTGTACTCAGCAAAGTCAATTTCATTGATTAACCACCTCGGTGGTCGAATCTGTGATCGATCTCGTAGCACACGACCTTGGTTAGCAGACGCAGCAGGTTCCTCATTTCGTTAAGCATTGACAGCATTCTCGACCGGTGGTATAGGCACTCCAATCTCAGGTGGTGGTGCAGCCTCAGCATTACCGACTTGTGGTTCGACTCCATTGAACCCGTTGATAGCTCCCTGAGCTTCATTACCATCTTGCTGAATCTTGTCTCCATTCTGCTGGTCTACCTGTCCTGGCTGACTGTCTGCCCCCTGCAACCAGTCTTCCTCGTCACTTGCTTCGCCAAGGGATGTTTCTCCGTTGACACACTCGCGAAAGATGACATTTCTTGACACTGTCACTTTTCTAGTATCTGGATGATACAATCGATAATTCGTTGAGTCTCCATCGTACCCCACAAGGATTGCTTTCTTAGCTCGGGCATCGAATTTTCGTGTGAACTGCTTGGGCACGTGCTCATAGCATTCCTCGCCGAATGCGCGAGTGTGTCCCAGATCTGGTTTTCTTCCATTCCAGATCTCATACGGCGTTTTCACGTCATCTTCCCTAATCATAGAAATTCAATTTAGCAAATACACAGCAGCGTTAGTTGCTTCCGCCCAAAGTGAAGTCTCAAGTTGTTTTGCGTGCAACATTGTGCGTGCGCACTCAACAATCGTTCGATTGTCCCGCTCAGCTTTCCCATTCTGCTCAGGAGTATACGGAGCTGTTGTCTCATGTTTAATTCCGAGGGACTGTATATACCTCTTCATCTGTTCATTGCAGTACTCACCCCCATTGTCGGTGCGCAGTACTTTCATGGTGCTACCAAATTTATTCGCCACAGCTCGCTCGACGATCTTGGAGCTCTCGTAGACATCTGACTTGTGTTTAAGAAAAAACAC